TATCTATCTATCTATCTATCTATCTATCTATCTATCTATCTATCTATTTATATCAATATATATATATTTATATCTATCTATAGCTATCCATCCATCCATTACCTTTACCCACTTCTTCCTTTTCGGTTCGTGGGGGTCACTGGTGCCCATATCCTTCAGTCACTGTGCGAGAGGTGGGGGACACCCTGGACAGGTCTCCAGTCCATCACAGAAATTTAAAAAAAAAAATTTAAAAACCCATGTCCTTTTTAAAACTCCATATTTGATCCTGTTCACACCATACATCTGTTTTGGGTGATTCAATCACAAATGTTGCTTTTCTTCAAAATAAAAGCGCTACAAAAGCTGGTTTCAAACTAAAAGCAGAGTTTTGGGGGATTTACCTGTTGAATTATTTATATTTGATTTCTGATTTTCCATCGACCTAACGCGAGCCGAATGGTTGCAGCTAATGAGCCGGATGTGGCCTGTGGGCCGGGAAATGCCCTGATCTGTTGAGGCTCATTTGGGCAGTCTGAATGCTCCGAAGAAAATTCTTTACTGGTGAAGTTAGTAAATTACAGCTGGGGCCAAATCAAATCAAGACTTATTGATTTCAGGCTAATCACTCAACGTAATCCTGTTTCGCAGGCATCCTGTAAGTCTGTAACCTTGTCATCTTTAGCAATTACCCCAGGAAGAGATATTGAACCGAGCGTCCTTCAGAGGACAGTGTTGGTGCAGACGCATCCTCAAGGGTTAAACCTCCCACTGTGTGGTCATCAGGGTCAGATCCACACTGTCTGATGTGGACATGATTGATAAGGCCATCATCTGGACTCAAGGGATTCTTTTTTTTCTATTCTGCTTCCACCTGCCACTGAACAGCTTAGCGCAGGTCAGCAGAACTCAAGGATTACTGAAACTTGAGCATATGGCAGTGCAGCTTAGGGTTATTGGCTAAAAGGCAGTGCAGTGGATTTCAATGCATTTTAATGATGTAGCAATGTATATTTTTTTGTTTTGCTCCTTCAGGTTCATGACTATTTACGGGGCAAGCTTTGTTCTCTGTACGAGAACGACTGCATCTTTGACAAGTTTGAGTGTGTCTGGAACGGATCAGACAGGTTTGACTTCTTCTCACTCGGTTATCAATCAGGCGACCTGATCCCCCGCCCCTCACTAACCCTCTGCTTCTCTCCTCCGCAGCGTCATAATGACCGGCTCGTACAACAATTTCTTCCGAATGTTCGACCGGAACACCAAACGAGACGTCACGCTGGAAGCGTCCAGAGAGAACAGCAAACCCCGAGCGATTCTGAAGCCTCGCAAGGTGAGCCACTTTACATAATCACTGTAATCCAGAGTAAATGAAAGTCACTGGATTTAGACTTTAAGGGCTGGAGATTCCTAGACAGGCAGGATAAGTCTATCCATCTTTTATCTTTACCCACTTCTTCCTTTTCGGGTCACGGGGGTCACTGGTGCCACTGGTGCCCATATCCAGCAGTCACTGTGCGAGAGGCAGGGGACATCCTGGAGAGGTCTCCAGTCCATCACAGGGACACACAAACAACCATTCACTCTCTTGGGACAATTTAGAGTTACCAATCAGCCTAACATGCATGTTTTTGGTCTGTGGGAGGAAACTAGAGTACTCGGAGAAAACCCACGCATGCACAGAGAGAACATGTAAACTCCACCCAGAATGGTCCTCCGGCTGGGATTTGATCCAACGACCTTCTCACTGAGAGGCGGAAGCTCTACCAACTGTGCCACCATGTCGCCCAGCAGGACAAGTCACTCTGTAATTTATTACAGTTTGCAATTATGTAAAGAAAAGTGGTTTCTAGGTTTTTCATCTCAATTCATTTTTGTAGTTTTTTTTTTTTTTCTGCAAATTTGAATGAATTGAAGTGTTCATAAATGAACTACGACATGCCCAGTGGCATACTGTCCTGCAAACAGCATGAACAAGCTTTTTTCCTGAGAAGAAGTGAATAAAAATATATTTATGTTCCACTTCTATTGCTCTTTCTTTGTTACCACATCAAACAGTGAGGTATTAAAACTGTCAGTTTAGTCTGTGCGATAAACTAGTTTTTTCCCTGACTGTTAATTATGCTTTTATATTTAGTTTAAACAGGTTAATGCCTCTGCCTTATGTTTTACCCAAAGCCCTAATCCACAGAATAATGCCTGCTGGACCTGTTCTAGTAGTGAAGCTATCTTTGACCTGCAAAAATATTCAACGTTATTCAAATATTCACCATTGCTTAAAGAAAAATAAGGAATTTGTTTTGGAATTGTGTGAAGGGAAAAATGCATAATGGAGATTTCCCACATACTGTATGTAAAAAAAAAAGTTCTATGGTATGAGAGCCACTCAGAAAACCATAACCATAGTGAAGCATGGTGGTGGCAGCATCATGCAGTGGGGATATTTATCATCACCAGGGACTAAGGTGGTCAGAGTTTAAGGAAAGATGGATGTAACCAAATGAAGAGAAATTATTAAGGGAAGCATGATGGAGATTTAACTCTGGGAACAGAAGTTCACCTTCCAGCAGAGCAATGACCCTAAACACACAGCTACAGCAGCACACTTTTAAAACAGACAACTCTAACTCAATGGACAACAGATGTGCAATTGTATTAGCATGTCATCAGAAACAACTGATGGAGGCTTAGAAATGTAAAAGTACGGGCCAAGACATGCAGAAAAGTTCAATTCTTCCTGGATGTTGCTAATTTTAGGGTGGAAGCTGAAAGAGAGTCGTCAAAGCTCGTTAAAGTAGGATAAAGTTGAATGTTTTGCTTAAACATGTAAAACGATAAAAAGTTACATCATGTTTTTGCAGAGACAGCGGCATTGACAAAAAGACAGGAGAAAGAACTGGAAGTGGCAGAAATGAAGATGTTGAGGTTCTCCTTAGGAGTGACAAGGATGGATAAGATCAGGAATGAGATCATCAGAGGTACAGCACAGGTTGAACAACTGGGAGATAAAGTTAGAGAGGCCAGACTGAGATGGTTTGGACATGTCCAGAGGAGGGACAGTGGGTATATTGGTAGAAGGATGTTAGAAATGCAGCTGCCAGGAAAAAGACAAAGAGGAGATATATGGATGCAGTTAGAGAGAACATGGAGGTAGTTGGAGTGAGGACAGAAGATGCAGAGAAATATGGAGGAGGATGACTCGCTGGGGTGACCCCTGAAGAGGGAAAAGCCGAAAGAAGATGTTTTTGCGGATACGTATATAATTTCCAAGTGTCTTTTAGCTTTGGACCATCATTTTAAGAGTAGAACATGTCTAGATTTTACAACAAAAGAAATTGCATGATCACATGTTTGTATTTGTGTCAACCACACATTTGTAAATGGAATATTGGCACAATGCAACAAAATGGACGAGCAGTTTAGCTTCTCACTGCAGAAAAACAAACGATGTGAGTGCACCGCTAAAAGCTTGCTACACACAAGAGATGGTAGATATCTTGCTCTCGCTCTCGTGGATGTTGGACGCTATTTTTCGCACAGACGTTTTTTACTCAAAGAGAAACTGCAGCGCAGAACTCCTGGTGATCCCTCCCACAGATGTTATGCGCTAAAGCATATAAACAACACAGTGACAACACTGTTGGCAAAGTAGGTGTTTGTTTTCAGTCGATGATGGAGGAGTTGGAGGAAGATCTGGTAATTCGGATGTTAACCAAGGAGAAGTGCTAGTTTGCTAATTTGTCATGAAGGGATCATCAATGACAACAAACGGGGCTGAAAAGTTTCCCCACACTGCCCAGCTGAGTCTTACCTCCTCCCGGTCAGCACAGGTACATTATCATTATAACAGTTTTTTGTTTTTTTTACTATCTTTATAAGTTTTGCTAGAACAGCTGTAAAGATGGTTGTATTTTCTAACAGCCTCAGCCAGCTGTTTCCCAGCAGAGCAATTGAAGCGAAATGAAAGCAGCGTAGTTCAACCACTTTTCCACATAAACACGTCCACAAAGCTCTGACCAGTCACACAATACTTGGTGCATTATCCTGCAATAAAAAAACATCCTGCCAGGAGCTTGTACACAGAACAGGTTTGCTGAGACCACGCAAGAACAAAAATCTGTAATTTTCATCTCACAACTTGAACAATGAGAGCAAATATCTTGACGTCTTGTAGAGTGTAAATCAGCCTTAAGGAGCTGAAGAGCTAAACATTTTTATGAGACATTTTGTAAGACAATAAAGGCATAAAAAGCCAGTAAATATTGAATCTTATTCTATTAATGGAAAATAAACTCTGTCAATTTTACAGAAAGTGTGAAAAGGCTCCAGTCTTCTCCAACTTCAGAGATTTGATGTGAATTTATTGTCGTTCTGACGGATGCTGAAGGAGCCCACGTACCCCTTCTGCCTCTCAGAACTGAGTCCTGATGGAGGAGTCTAAACTCAAGGATTCAAGGTTCTTTATTGTCATTCACATCTCATGATGTGGTACATGAGGTGGAACAAACTTGTGTACAGAGTCCCAGTTACATCCAACAACAAGAAGAATATAAATTGTAAAAGAAACAGTAACTAAGGATCTAAGATGTAAACTAAGAATACAATAAAAAGAAACAATACGCCGAACAACAGCAGCACGAACATGAGTCTGTGTGAGCAGATGAGTACGAATGAACACAGCAGCATGAAATAAATCAGCAGCATGAGATCAGCAGCATAGATACTCAGCAGCACATGTCAACAATCAAAGTGGCATTACAGTGATTTTTCTGGTTAGAGATTCATGAGACTAACAGCTTCAGGGTAGAAGCTGTTCCTCAGTCTAGTGGTTCTACACTTAATGCTCTTTAACCTCCTTCCTGAGGGGAGTGGAGCAAAAAGTGTGTGTGCTGGGTGAGTGGGGTCCTTCATGGTGCAGGTGGCCCTCTTCCTGCATCTAGAGGTGTAGATGTCTGTGATGGTGGGGAGGCTGACTCCAAAATGAATATGTAAACACTCTTCACTGTTCCTGTCCCTCAGGTGTGTGTTGGTGGGAAACGTCGCAAGGATGAGATCAGCGTGGACAGCCTCGACTTCAGCAAGAAGATCCTTCACACGACGTGGCACCCGCATGAGAACATCATTGCTGTAGCAGCCACCAACAACCTCTACATTTTCCAAGACAAAGTGAACTAACAAAAAGGGCGGCCTGCCCCGCCTGCTGACCCTGCACTCTTGGATCCACATGAATGAGGGGCTGCTGTTTTTAATTCCCTCCACTCTGGTTTAAGAGTCAAATATCCACTGACATGCTTTGGGGAAATGACCAGTAAGGATTTTGGAAAAGCGAATGCTACGTGAGGAAAAAGCTTCGCTCCGCAGTGTGACTTCTGATTTAAATTATTTAACCGCCCCGAAGAAATGAATCCTGCGCATTTATGCAACGAGAGGATTGCTGCATGAATAACGCTATGTAGCAGCCCTCTGGACCCTGACGACAGGGCGGTTAAAGAGAACATTGAATATGAAACAGAGCACACAGACAATCGGAGCCTAGGTGAGGGGAGGCTCGTTGTCATGTAGCATCAGTGCCCCCTGTCTTTGGCTCTGCTACAGGATGAAGCTGCCGCCTCTGACTGAGGCTAAAGTGTTGGACACTGCTACAGAGGAAAAAAAGAAGACTGTTAATGCCTGACAGAGACTCTGCCGACACGGTCAGGCTCTTTAGAACCAGTTTTGTGTCTCCTTGTCGAGACGTCTGTAGTCTGTAACGTGAATGCAGCCGTCCCAGGCTCTGTCAGTCCTTTCATTTAACGCTGTTGTTTCGTTCTCTCAGTCAGTGAGTCTGTTTAGAAGCTGTGGTGCCTTCTTTTGGTATGTGGGGGTTTGATGTAAAGGGCATGGTGGGATTGGGGGTGGGTGGGGTGGGACTGTGAGAATGTTTTAAATGGAAAGTCAACTTAGGAGTTTTGTTTTTCTTCCCCGTTTTTCTTTCTCTACGAATGAAAAAGAGCAACAAAAAAGGCTTCGTGCAGCTCAAAGCGTTTGGAGTTTCGTCTCAAACCTGGTTTCGTGCTCGAGAGCTCAGGGGAAGATTTGTACAGAGTACCTTCAGTCTGTTTAACGTCAGAGACGAGACAAAGCCACATTATTTTTCTGTGCAAAATTCATTTTTTTTTACACGCTTTATTTCACTTGACTCTGCTTGAATTGTGCTGAAAATGATCTGTAGATGGGAACACCATAAACACATCACGTTAAAACCTTTGAACCTGATATTTTCTTCCTCAAATGGAATTATATTATATGTTGTCATTCTTTGTTGGCACGTGTGTCGGTTCTGATCCTGTTCGATTTTTAAAGCTCACACTTAGTCCTTTAAACATCTACAGATCATTTGAAGCACATTGCAGTGATTCCACACCGAATCTGTTTCATTTTGAGCTGCTGCCGTGTTTGTGCACGTTGCTCTTGCTAAAGAAGGGGGCGACGCAAGCAGGTTGCGTCTCGGCTCTTGGCTCAGACCGGTTCACGGATGAATCAGGAAGAAGCCAAACAGTTGAAGGCTTGACTGAACTCTGTGCAATCAGGGAATAATTAAGTTAAGTTTCCTTTAACGGTAATATCTTCTAAACAGGTTCTTTTGTCACACTTCTAATTGAAACGTATGAACTTTTATAGCTCAGAATGTATTGAAATGCAAAGAAATGACCACGCAGTCTTTATGCTTACGGGACTTACTTTGAATAAAAAAACTGAATAAAGATTTGCAAGCTCAAGATCTGACCTGCTGTTTGAATGTTTGTTGAATTTAATTGTGGGGTGCCAGTTACATGAGGGTTTTATACGTCAGAGCATGATAAAGATCGTCAGAGCCCTCGTGTATGAACAGTGTGTGAGCAAATAAAAGTTTGGTTTTGGTTTTCTGAACTCGTAAGGGGACTTAAACTAAAAGTTTCCTCCTAATCAGAATACGATTTATTATCATTTTACTGAAATACAGTGAGATTATGTTGGCACACTCCCCTGAAAGATGAGCGAAGTGCACGTTGCTGCTGCTCCTTGAGAGCGTGACCTCTTGTCCTTTTTCAGAATACTTTTTATATAGAAAAGGGGAAAAGGCCATGAGGATAGGATAGTGGTATTAATCTTCACATCTTGTCCTTATCAGGACATGATTTAAGACATTAAAAAAAAAAGTAATGTAATGTATTAATTGGTGCATTTGACGACAAGACGGTGTGATTTGTCCATGAAGCATTTCCAGATAGTCCATAGTCCTGATAAGATGTTGGTCAGCTGGTACAGCTCTGATGGTCCTTCACAGAAGTTCTAGGGTGGGGGGGTGGGGGGTTGCGATAGACATAGCTTCTCCTTAATTTACACATATCCCAGTAAAAATATAAGTCGGCCTGCTTCGAGGCCATCCGGGGGGAGTCAAAGTCAGATAATCCACAATTGTTGATTTTTTTTCAGACTGACTGTTTTTTCTTGTCAGCTTTGAGTCCTGCTGGTACTTTTGATCTAAAACAGCCAGATTTGTCGGCATTCCACTGGTCCGTGCATATGAGCACCCTTCAAAATTGTTCCCAACATGCTGGAGAGTCCCAGAAGTCACAGGTGGCCTGCAATTTTTACAAATCGCTTCCATCTTATGGTTTAGCTCATGAATCAGCTGATTTTGAGTCCTCAAAACACAAACAAAAACTTCACACAGACTCGGCAGTTTTGCCATGGCCGAAACTGCTGCCGCCGTCTTCTTCAATAGCCGATAACATAGGTATCTGACGGTGCCAAAAAGCAGAAACCCTGCTATTATAGTTCCAATTACGTATATAAACGTCTTCGGCATCATCCTGCGAAAATACGGAGAGACACATCAGCTCCCAAACTCCTCACAGATCCATGACGTATCCTGAGTTTCAGCAGGACATGAGGGCTCTCCAGGATCCTGTCGCTCTGTTGAAAATATTTTATCAATTGCGTTGAAAGTCCAGCTTACCAGATCCATGACAGTAGTTTTATTTTCAGAAGATGTGTAAAATAGGAGCTCCGATACACAGAGAGCAAGAAAAGCAGGAGGAGGCCAGGAGAGCAGGAGGACGAGGCCAAAGCATCAGATTTAAAACTGAGCATTTATCATTTAAAACTGAACCACATAAAACATAACATACAGCACACCTCAAAAATGATCAAAACAATCTCACTCCAACGTAAAGTCCAAAGATTCTTATATTTTTTGTTGCATGCAAACTCAGGTCAGTGCACGCCTGCAAGACACACAAACAGCTGATAGCATGAAATGTACGTGAATTGTGTAATGGGCACTTCCATTCTTATTGAGAAGAAACAAGTGTCCAATCAGTATATTAATTCAAATAAATAGATTCGTAAAGTTGGGCATGATTGTGGAGCAATTGCAGCAGCGGCACTGCTGGAGAGCATCACCTGTAGAAGAATTGGGAGGCAGCGTGTTTTTTGAAGGGAATCACACCGAGCTGCTTGCACACGATGCCTGTTAATGTTCCAGCAGGGCCATTCTTTTGGACCTCTGTGCTAATCTGGCCTCAGCATTAGAGAGGGAAAGCTGTGTGCTGCTGCAGGTTTGAATACTGGCCCTGCTTGGGTTCCTTTGAGCCAAAGCATTTCAGAGGCAACTGGCTGACATGTTGGTTAGGTATGGAACAGTTTAATCTGTAGGTATATAATTTAAATACATAAAATCACAGGGTTAAACTTTACGTCCATCTACTTCTTTCCTCCCCTCCTGATTACATAAATAATGCAACACTGAATATTTGTGCTGTCTTCCATTGTACAAAACCTGTGCCTTGTTTTCACGTGTTCTGTTATTAGAACAAAAATGAGCAGCAGGATGAAGATATCTCCACTTCATTATTCACAACCTTACTCACAGATCCACATGTGGCAGTGGGGAGGCCGCCAGATTTTAAGGGGAAGGTTTAGAGCCTGGTAAAGTATTTTCTAAAAACATGTCCTGATCTGTAAAATGTTATAGTTCAAGGAGGCCAACATAATTTTCCCCACATGTTAACAAAAAATCAGAGCAGCATGTGGTGTGAGGGCGCCCTCTTGTGGAGAAAACATCTAATTTAGATTACTGACCATGTGGTCTTAAATCATTTTCCAGTTATTTGTTCATTTGGTTCCTTCATTTTATAAAGTAAACTATTAAAAAAGCAACACATTCAGTTGATGCAGCAAGCAAATGACAATGTCTTCCTGGATTTCATTCTGCTTAATGTGACATTAAATGATCCATTTGATGACAAATCCTGACTGATTGTGTGCCTGTAAAACATAGCCTAATATGATGGAATCAAAAAACAACACTAATGTGATTGATACATCACATTCCCCTAATTTAGACTCATTTCTTTGATTTGTTCCCAGTATGCAGAGTATTTCCTAATTGGCCCCATGTGGGTGTAGTCGACGCACATTTTGCCACATGGGGACACCAGCTGTCAGTCAAAGAGGATCTTTATAGCTAGCTGCAGAGGATGCATTAATACATTATGGGACAAAGCAGCGGGCAGGCAGGAGCTCCACTGGTAACTCTTAACGTTCAATTATTGACCATTTTAACAACTTTTAATTCCACAACACTGTTTACAGTTTTGCCTTCAAAGCAATTCAACTTTTTGAAGTTCATCAACTTGGAAACCGTTTTTTAACTCCTAACTTTCCTTGACTTTTCATAAATTGTTTTATCTGCTCGTCCTGTTGTTGAGAACAATGGACCTGCCAGTTGAGGTCAATGGGACAGTGATGAACAGCTCCATAGACAAGTGGACATTTCATGAGCTCGATTCGTTCCATCAGAGGGAAGCAAACAAGCTCAGAGTCCTCGTGCCAGCCATCCTGGGGGTCATCTGCGTCTTGGGCGCGGCTTGTAACCTCACAGCCATGATCATCCTGTTTTCAACTGCGCACAGAGGCAAGCTGTCCCTCATCAACTCCCTCATCTTCAACCTGATGTTTGCAGACGGGCTGCTGCTGATGTTCACCGTGCCCTTCAGGGCCGCGTCGTACTCCAAGGCGAGCTGGAGTCTGGGCTGGGCAGTGTGCAAGACGGCCGACTGGTTCCTGCAGTCCTGCATGGCAGCGAAGAGCCTCACAGTGGCGTTTATGGCCAAAGCCTGCTGCCGCTACGTCTCGAACCCCACCAGGCAGGTGAGCATCCACCTGGGCTCCATCTTGGTGGTGCTCTTCTTCATCTGGCTGTCAGCCTGCTTGGCCACCATTCCTCTGTGGCTCTTTGCTGATCTGCAGAGAGGCGTTCACGGGCTTGTGTGCGTGATGAAGGTTTCCCCTGAAGCTCTGGGTTTCATGTCTGTGTATGTCAAAGCGTACCCACTGGGGGTCTACTGTGCACCCCTCAGCTTTGCCCTCATGTATTTCTGGAAGGCTTATGGCCACTGCCAGCGGCGCTCCAGCAAGACCCAGAATCTGCGCACTCAGATCAGATCTAGGAGGCTCACCTTGATGCTTTTCAGCCTCACGGTGGCCATGGCTGTTCTCTGGCTGCCTCAGTGGGTGCTGTGGGTTTGGGAGCGCCACATGGCAGAGAAAGTAAGTGAAGGAGCGCAGCCTGCTGTCTCCCCTCCACTCATTTTCCTGACCCTCTCTGCTCAGCTGCTCACATTCTCTCTGTCTCTTGTGAACCCACTCATCATCCTCTTCCTCTCTGAGGAGTTCAGAGAAAGTTACAGGGGTCTGTGGAGACGTCTCACCTTGCGCAAGCAACCTCCACCTAAGGCAAAGCTCGGACCTCACAACCCTACCTCCCTGCAGTCTCCCTGCCCCAGACGAGAGACCTCAGTGGAGGGGAGACTTCAGCTCAGCTTCAGCCGGGAACCTAGTAGCGAGGTGCAGCCCCGTCCGGAGGAGGACGCAGCAGTGGGGAGAACAGACGTGGACAGGACAAGTCTCAAAGATGGTCCGGTCTTACCTGACGTGGAGCAGTTCTGGCAGGAGAGGGAGACTGGACTGCACGGAGAGGAAAACGATCCGGTGCCGTGGGAGAATCAGACCAAAGAGGAGAAAAAGTAAATGCAACATTTATGGCTGATCTTTGTACCAGAGCTCTGCTGAGTGTTGCAGTGTAGCTCATTGATGTTCTGTGTTTAGGATTATATTCAAGACGTAAGAGCAGAAGGAATAGAGCAGCATCATCCATATAAATAATAACCTTTGCAGTAATGGCACTTGATTAATCAGAACAAAATAATGATTGATGGCTGTAAACTAAAGCTCCTATGAAGACAGAGTATAGATTGTTTTTACATAGATTCAATGTGCTGTAAGAACTCAAAATAAATACAGAAAAGCAGTGGATTTGCCTAAAATGTTGACTTTTAAAGTTCTAATGTAAGATTTGGAATCTGAATTTAAATATACTGGCCCTATAGTTTACTCGTTGTTTGTAATTATTCTAAATATATTTGACGTGGAGTTGCAGTCTCGTACAGTGACAGTATAAACGTCTCTTTTGCTCTCAGTGCAGATGTTCATTATTTATTGTGCATCTGGTTGTCAGGTGTTTTTAATAAAGAATGATGTCAACATGCAGCCCGAGTTGTGTTTTTGTCTTTGAGTCACTCGTGAATATCCAGGTACGGTAGGCTCCTTCCTGCTCACACAGAGCCATTAAATTAGTCTTGAGTGGGTTTTTAATGAGGGAGAAGAAGTTTTCATTTAGACCTTCCTCATAAGAAAATCTTTTTATATTGATCATGTCAAGATGTGATTTGAATGATTAAACGTGGAAATCTCAAATCTATTAGCAGGAAAAGCAATCTACCTCTGATCTTAACTGAAAAACAATAGTAAACATAATTCTATTTCTCTAACGAGACATCAAAGTTGACATGTTTTTAATGTAATGTATCATTTTTAAAAGATTAAACAATAATACAAAGAATATGAGATGCAATAATTTCATAGTTACCTAACAAGCTCTGTTTTCTCTCTTCCTTCCCTTATGACATTTTCCGCTCATTAATCATTTATGTTGACCTTTTATTGCCAGAGCTGTTATTAAATCAGAGCAACACTTTAACTGTATCCCACCATCAGTCCCTGGGGTGGTGACCTGACCGTAAACACTGCAGGAAAAAGAAATTTAGACTCCCATTAATGAGATGAAAATGCATCAGTCACCTTTAAAACAGCGAAATAATTAAACAGGTCAGTTCACTAGATATACAAAAGCACAAGATGGACTCTAAGAACTGCATCAATCTGGGTATTGCCTGTTTATACCTCTGGGCTGGCATTTACCCTGACTAATGAGCCAGTAAATCTGCATTTGTGTGAGTTTATCCAATTTGGACTACATTTATAACAAAAAGGCCTGGAGCTGCTGACCGTGGCAGGTAACTGGTGCTAACAGGCCCGCCTCCCTCAAAACTGAAAGAATTAAAAATATATACATTTTTAAAGCTTTTACATTCTGCACAAACCAAGTTCACCATTGCAACACACATATGCAGACAAATATAAATTACATGTTATATTGCTAAATAACGTCATAAACAATTAAAGCTGAGCAGTCTTTGAAGAAATTCTTTACGAGATGATTAACAGACACCAACAGGTAACGCTAAAGTTTTAAGCAAAAATCTTGTGCAATGGAAAGCCCTCGGAGCAGGGTGCTCACACTTTTTCAGCATTTTAAAATGACCACGTAGAAGCGATCTACTTACTATATATACTACTATAAAGAACAACCTCTGGAAACGTTAGTGTTTAGGTTTACAGTAGTCCCTCGTTTATCGCGGGGGATCCATACCTTGAAGCCCCGTGATACGTGAAACACCGCAAAGTAGGAATAGTAGTACAAGTAGTAAGTAATCTTTCCCACACTTGCAATATTCTGATGTTCTAAAAGAGCACAGCGCATCATAATTTCAGCTCTCTGCCAGCGGTCTTGGCCACGCCCACTTCTCAGCTGCAGAGCAGAGATCTGACACACTGTATGAATAAACTTCTACTGCAGCTTGTGCTGCACACAGGTGCAGCAGGTGTTAAATAATTTCAAATAATTAATTTGAAATTTAAAAAAAATTCATGCTGATCGTGCGGTTCATCCATCAATCAGCCAATCGTATGTCAAGTCCAATCTTATTTTGAAAAAAGCGACAGAGTGAGTCCTCGAAAAACGAACCGTGAAGTAACGAGGGACTACTGTACATGAAAAAAACGCTGCAGTTTCCATGTCAGTCGGGTTGCCAGTTAAGAAATTAGGAACTATAATACTGTGGCTTTAAAATGATTGTAGTTTGACCTAAACTGTCATATGTGCTGAGTAAAGATATTCTAAGATGAGGTTGTTTGTTGAACATGTGTACAAAAAAGAAGAGGGTAAATAAGACATTTTAAATATATCTGGCAACACTGCACATGCAGTGTCTGCATGATCACAGTTAATTCCAAACTGGTAAATACACTAGCGTCTCTTTGGACCCTGGATTTTATTAGTTTTGCTCCTACATATTGAAAAAGGGTGAGTAACACAAAAACTGCTCTCATAGTTTATATTATTTACGGTTTCTTTTCACAAATATGGCTTCCTTTACTCCTCGGATGCAATCTTGTGAAAATAAACCGTCCATCATTAAACAGGGGCAGAGGCCTCCGTGTTCAACTGTCCCCCTCTTACAATACTGTTATTGCTAGTATCACTCAGCCCCCTGTGAATAGCAAACAACCATCAGGGTGCTAATGATCAGTGTTAGGTTGATGGTCCTTCTTGTTCATGTGAACCTTTAGTTTTGAATGTCAACAACAAACTGGATGATCCACTATGAGAAGGAGCTATTTATAAGACTGAGCTGAACACAGCACCTCAGACTGAAGAAGTCTTTCGGATGGAAGACAAAAAGTTTCTATAATTTTTTATTTTTTGAACCCGTCCAGAGGACCTGACTTAACATCTTTAGACTGACCTATATGGTTTATAGACAGAGAGTCATCCAGGAACTCTATTTGTGGCAATGGTTTCAAACCAGGTGGGGGAAGTGATATCAGCCCAGTTGCAAACATCAAAATGTTCTCCACAGACACAACAGCATCACCTTCTGCAAAGAAATACATGTTCAGGTATACCAGGGTAATGTGGTTTTCCAAGTAGGTACCAAAAAACTTTGCAAACCTTCACAATCAAGGAGTCTGCCCAGTAGGTCAACATTTGACTTTCAGTCTTCTATTGCTCCCTGAAGGTCTGAGTTAAGGTTTGAAGAGTCTCAAGTTCAAGCCAGTCAGTCGCTATTCACCGTGGCACAGGGCAGGGGTCAGCACAGTAGGGTGTTGTAGTGCAGTCAGGAACTGAAGGGCTGAAAGACCATCTTTGAATCTTGAAAGTGAACAAAATTGTGAAGGTAACATTGTTTGTTGCAGTGACTACCTGATAACAGGTACACATGCCGTGGAACATTTCAAACTAAATCATCCTACAGAATAAAAGACAGTCACATTATAAATATCTTACCTATCAATTACAGATGAGATGTGGTCAATAACATACCACCAGAGGTAGTCTGCCTCAATTTCTCCACGGTGGCCACGATGCTGAGAGTTTTGTAGACGCGATCAGCAAATACACCAATCCCACGGAATAAAGGGCATTCTTCCTGAAGTATCTGGTTTCCACAACTCTGGATGGACTTATCACGCCTCAGAAGTTCCACTTGGACACGGAAGAGTCCAGAAAAGCGTTGAAAAAGGCGGTTCAGGCTCTCAAAGAGATCTGCACCTTTCAAGAGCTGAGAGACGTCAAAAATCTGGACCTGAACGTCGGGGCTAAGATTATTGGAGTTTAATGTCAGATCATCAATAAACTTCTGGCAACTTCTAAATGGGTGGAAATCCTTTTCCACACATGTGGGGTGATTTTCTTCTGTGGAGTGGTACTATTATTAGGATTTATGTGTGCACTGACGCTGTTATCGTTTTGATCCAATCACGTGCTACAGTCTCACTGACTGGAGAACGTGCAAACTTCAGTGAAGTGGTACATCTCTCAACCATGGGTTTTTCTCTCAGTGTCTGGTTTTATCCCACAACAACAAATCCTTGGTAGTCTAGTGGTTAGGTTTCGGCACTCTTAGCATTGTGGCCTGGGTTTGATTCCCAGTCAGGGAAAAAAGTATTTTTTGTGCGCCAAGATGGAGTAAAGAAGCTTAAACTACCAGAGGAAGCTGAAAGAACTGATATGAGCTCAAAAAATGTGGAATTAGCTGAAAACGCTAAAATTAACATCAAGCACTAAATACCTGAAAGAGCACAAAAACCTGAAACCAGCAGAAAAAAATATTGAAAAGAGCATAACAAGCTGAAATTAGCATAAAGAAGTTAATTAAGCTGCAACATAAATTAACATGACAAACTTGAAACAACTGTAATTACCACCAAAAATTCCTAGAGTCCTAAATCCTAAAGCCTGAAAGGTTAGAACAAGCGTAATTTAGCAAAAGAAAGCAACGAGAACACATATTTGTCCAATTATGCTGAATACAAAGGAAATTAGCACAAAAAGTGGAAATTATCTGAAAAAAGCTGAAATTAGCAACAACAAAAAACCAGCTGAAAACAGCAGGAAGAAGGTTAAGTTACCTGAAGGAACACATTTTTGCAGAATTAGGCTGAAAGATTATGACATTTTGCAAAAAATGTGGAATTAGCTGAAACTGCTAAAATGAGCACAGAACAGAATTAAATAGTAGCTGAAATAACTGAAACTTCAGAAATAAGCAAATAAGCTGAAAGTACCATAAAAAGCTGAAACTAGCAGAAATAAGTTAAATTGACTAAAAGTAGCCAAAATTAGCACCAAAAACTTGAATTTATCTGAAAACAGCTGAAATTAGCTAAAAATGTTGAAAAGGTAGATACATTTTAAATTATCAGAGGAAAGCAGAAAGAGCAAATGTTTGCCCAGTTAGGCTGAAAGAAGCAGACGAGCACAAAAACGGGGAATTATCTGAGGAAAGCAGAAATTTGCAAAAACACAGCTGAAAAATACA